CGTTTAAGATCAATTTGCTTTCTAGCAGTACAACTTTTAATTCACAGGGGGAAGTAAAGCTCTGGTGGGCTCCCTGATTCACTTATAGTAAGAATCATACGGTGAGTTAAATTGAATTAGTGAGTCTTCCTATTTTAAAGTAAAATACTGTGTGTTCTTGCCCTGCTTATTTTCAGGGACACACAAATACATGGGGTATATGGATTGGATCCTTTAGTAGTTTGATACTAAGAACAGTAGCTGGCTCTTTGCCTATCTGTGCTGCCATTACCAGAGGCCCAGAGTATTGGCAGGAGTCCTGGACATATCATACACAGACATCAATTATAATATCTTAAAGGGGAAAAAGGAAAGCATGAGATTTGATTCATAAAATTGTACAAAAGTACTCCCTTTAGAAAATTAAGCAGTAATCTTACTTTGCCTTCATACATTTAGTATCCGGTATAAAATTTGTGTTGGCAAAGATGTCTGTGGAGGATAAATAGAATGCTTCTCTTTTGATCGCAGCACCAGCCTCACCTTTCACTGAGTCCATATGTCCAAGTGTGCCATAATGTATTTATAACCATCTAACTGAGCCAGGCAGTGGTGGCTCCACACCTTTAATCCCAGCACTCAGGAAGCAGAGGTAGTGGGATCTCTGTGAGTTCGAGGCTAGCCTGGTCTACAAGAGCTAGTTCCAAGACAGAAACCTTGTCTCTAAAAAACAAACAAAAAAATCCACCTGCACATTAAATTATACTTTACTTGTGCCTCTGCACACCTACGCACTCTGACTCACAGAACTGCCACCCTTGTGTTGTTTGTCAACTACGAAGACTGTAATGCAAATGGAAAGTAAGGGCCAGGATTTGGGCTGTCAGGGTGCAGAGGGGAATATGGGTTCTGGGAGTGAAAAGTTATCTGGAACTCCTAACAGGGCTGCCAGCTCTTCCTCTTAAGGCGCTTCAAGCATGTTTCAGTGATCTGGAGACTGACTTCTGCCTTCACACCTTCTTACCCGTGGCTTCCCATGAAAGTATCTCTGAAACCATGGAGGTGTCAAACACCCTTATCATCTCATCCCAAATGGCAAACCCGTGGCCATTTTGAGTTTCTCAGAAGGATCTGACTGTTCTTGCTTGCATTGGCTCACTTGTTATTGACCTTAGTCTCCAGAGAAATTCAGACACCAAAGCACTAAAGGAGACACCAAGACTATGCTGGACATTTCAACTGTAGCTTGGTAGGCAGAGATGCCCAAATAGCTGTGGTCCTTCTTTTTCTCAACACACAGTTCACTTGTGACTTTCACAGGAGCTGACTGAGAAGAGTAAAATGTCAAAAGGATGAGTGCAGGTTCAAGAGGAATGTGAGTGAGAACGGAGACAAGAACCTGGTTCCTTCAAAGGGTTTTTCTTTAAAAGGAACCAAGCACTGACTGTGTAGCTGGGGCAGAAGTGAAAGCAAACAGAAATGTCTTTCTCGACTTTGGAGTTATCACAACAATCTTGGATGCTGAGAGGAATTGTCTTAGTTAATGTTTCTGTTGCTGTTATGAATCACCATGCCCGAAGAATCCAGGAGGAAAGGGTTTATTTGGCTTACCTATCCACACTGTAGTCCATCACGGAAGCAAGCCAAGACGGGAACTCAAACTGGGCAGGAAACTGGAGGCAGGAGCTAATGCAAAGAATATGGAGGGGGCTGCTTACTGGATCGCTCAGGCTGTTCTCTTATAGAAGCCAGGATCACCAGCCCAGGATGGCCCCACACACAACGAGCTGGGCCCTCCCACATGTATTGTTAATTTTTAAAAAATGCCCTACAGCTGGATCTTATGGAGGGGTTTTCTCATTTGAGGTTCCCTCCTTTCAAATGACTTTGACTTGTGTCATGTTGACATAAAACTAGCCAGAACAGGAATGATCACGGGAAAGCTAAGCCTTGACAGTTCAGTAGGGAGAGCGTAGCTGCCAAAGGGATGGCTTGTCAATAGCACAGCAGAAGTGAGAGCTTCCAGGCTATTCTCAGGGCAGCAGAATGTTGATCCATCCTAACGTGACGGAAGGTATAGGTAGATACTAGACGTTAAGGGGAGCTTCTGGTGGAAGTTTTGTTTTGGTAGAAGTTAGTTACTTGTATCTAGGGACCCAATGAGAGAGGATACACATGCTGGAGGTTTGAAAAGAGAAGAAGGGGTATGAGCTGGTTGCCTAGGAAAATGAAGAATGAATGGATTCGGATTTTGCAATGGATTGAGGTCATGCTTAGAATTCAGTCATCAATTTAATTGAGACTAGGACAGGAAGGAAGGATGTTTTGGCCTTGACTGTGCTCTGATAGGGTAGTTTCTGTCTGTATCTCTCTGTTTTACAAAGTTACTGTGAAGCTAGGCTTTGAATTACTTAGCACTTTTCTGTGGCAGAAAGATGTTCAGCTTTGTCTAAGACAGCTCCATTGCTCCTGAGACAGTGTCTGGCTTCTGCCACTGACTTAATAACTAGCGTAAACACATAGCCAAACCTCTCTCTGCTTTTGCTCCTCAGTCTGTAACATGGTGGTGAATTTAATCTTTGTAAATTGATGAGCTGCTTAATAAATACAGGATGTCCATAAGATAGTATTTCTGCCCTCTCTGCTAAGCACTGGAAAGTCAGGGCAGAGCCTCCACGTAAACCCTATATCCTGATGACAGATGAGCAGCCCTGTAGGTTTTGAAAAAAGAAGGAAGGGTAAATACCCTGGCTAGTTTTATGTCAACTTGACATAGGCTAGAGTCATCTGAAAAGAGGGAACCTCAATTGAGAAAATGCCTCCATAAGACTCAGCTGTAGGGCATTTTCTTGATTAGTGATGGATAGGGGAGGGATCAGCCCATAGTGGGTAAAGCCACCCTGTGCTGGTGGTCCTGAGTTCTAGAAGAAAGCAGGCTGAGCAAGCCGTGAGGAGCAAGCCAGTAAGCAGTGCTACTCCATAACCTCTGTGCCGGCTCTGGCCTCCAGTTTCCTGCCCAGTTTGAGTTCCTGTCTTGATGATGGGAAAGTGTAAGCCAGATAAACCCTTTCCTCCCCAAGCTGCTTTGGTCTTGGGGTCATCACAGCAATAGTAATCCTAACTAGGACAGTACCACCATACAGTAGCCACCCAGACTGTGTCCTTTTATCCCCAAAGCTACTTTTGAGATTTATTATTCCAATCTGAGATCCAGGGGGATTGAATTATCTAAGATGAGATTTCATACCATGTCTACATAAAATCCCATGCTAATTTTTTTTTTTATTTTTACTTTTCCACATAAAGGATTGGCCTTGACCGTGTATAGCTATAGAAGCTGTGAACCTTTATGCATTATTTTCTTTATTACCAGATTCATATTCTTGCCAGTGTAATCTCAGCAGTACAAGGTTTTAAATAGCACTGCCCAGGAAGTCTCGTGATGGAGTAGTGTACAAGACCTCAAATGACCAGGGATGATAGAAAGGTTTGGGAATGGGCGGTACACTGAGTGAAAATCAGCACTTAGCCACAAATACATTTTCCACGCTCCTTTTGGGGGAAGATGGTGGATACGAGATAAAATTAATTTATGTGACCATGGGAAATGCAGAACCACCAGGCCTGTGTGTTCTTTGCTGCAGGCACAGAGTGCACGCTATGAGCTGCAGCACATAAACTCCTCTAAGGGAGAGGAAAAAAATCGCTGCTTTGCTAGATTTTGATTTTTGAGTAACAATTGCCCACCTGATAGAGAAAGTGATAAGAAAAGTGTATTTATTTTCTTCCAACAGCTAAAAGCTGATCATACTTCTAAAATTTGTAGAGATTGTCCAAGAAACTGTGTAAAATACTCATCCATCACTGGAAGCCCCTGGTCAGGAAATGACAGTGCAGTAAATATCTTCAGCAGCCACCTTTTAATGTACAAGCTGTTTTCGGTTGGAATTTTCAGCGCTCACATAAAACACACTGTCATGAGTGACTGCTTGCGCTCCAAAGTCATTACTATTGGGATAATGGAACATCTCACAGCGAATAACCAAAAAACTTTAAATGTCATGTCAAGTTTGTTGGAGCCATTTTCAAACCCTGCTCAAGGTTACATGAATATTGAGGCTATCTGCTTTTTAAAAGTTGGAGCTCTACGAGAAAGTCTCTCATAAGGTTGTAAAATGTGAGAGTTAGTTAATTAGAAGAAATTTTAGGTCTCTTTGAGAAAATTAATCAGCCATTTAATCGCTGCCTATTATGGAGTCAAGATCACAACCACTTGCCAGTATGTTTGTGTTTTTGTGTGCACGGGTATATGAGAAGATGTGGACATACTACTCAGTTTCATTATGACAGAATTATCTAATTATGGTTGGCTAGGAAATACAATTTGCCTGACAACTTCATTATTCCTTTTGATGGATTTTTTTTCAAATCCTTAGGAGAATCCTCCTCACTTTTGTTCTAATTCTTTTGTTAGTCTAATTATCTGTTGGGTCATAATCTATGCAGACTGTTTATTAACCCAGTGTGTTTACCGAACACAGTTTACCCAGGGCTGTTGTAAATACTGACACTACCCAGTGTTTAAAATAAAGTTGCTGTTGTTTTGTAGATCATGCATGCTAGTGAAAAGACACCCAATGGGCACATGTGCTTGCCATGATGCTGTGAGGGAAGGAACAGAGTGATGGGGAAGATCAGGACAAGGCCCACCTGCAATGGTTAGGGAAGGCCTCTGCATTTCGTTCATGTTTGACTCAAATCCTGAATGAAGCATGGGACAAAACTCTGATAATTTCTTGGTCACCATTATCTCAACATTAAAGAAGAAAATAAGCAATAGTCTTCTATAATTCCATTGATTCTTAACCTCTACATATTTACTTTATGTCTGCCTTTCTACTGGCTATTTTTAGTCTGCCCAAGAGGACCTATTTATTGAATAATTAAATCATGTTTTATAACATACGTGGACCTTGGCTTTCACACTGACAAGTTTCCTGTTTATTTTTTCCTTACTGTAGAAAACCAGAAAGTGCAGTTGACAGAAGGGTCACGTCCACATCACAGTATCAATGGCAACTCCACCAGGACTCAGGCCGCGAAGGAGCTTAATTATAATCTAGACACTCATAAGTCTACAGAGAGGATCAAGGCAGTTGAGAAGGAAGCCTTCAATGCAGAAAGCAACAGAAAAAAGGAAATGGAACTTCATGGCTCTATTTCTAAAAGCGAATCAGTTCCTGAAGTTGAAGCCCTGCTGGCAAGATTACGAGCTTTATAAATTAAACTGGTTAAAAAAAAAATGATTAAGCCAAACACAAAGCCATGCTTTCAGCTGTAACACTTGAGAAGTTGCTTTTATGTCAGTGACTTTATATAGTTTTAAATTATGATATATATTAGAAAGTACAAAGCTGAATACGTGATTGCAATGCTTTTCCATGTACTTGAAGTTTTGGTTTTTTTCAAGGTTGGAATGGGCTTTAATGCTTGTTTTGTCTCCTAGTATTCATCTATTCTGTATTTGCTGGTTAAATTATACATGTTGCTCTAGAGATCAAGGAGGCAACCATGTGTTCAACCACGTGTCTTTAAGAAGATGGCATCCTTCTAGGTCATAATATTTACCACTTCAACATTAATGAAAGCTCATTAAGGTGAAGACCTGGTGTCTGTCCATGCGTATTCCATATGTTCTATCTGTATTGGCCCAAATGCTTTCAGTGCAGCATCAGAAACATATAACTGTGTGTCAGAACTGTACTGGCCAGCACACTCGTTATCGTCAGTGTTGATTCATGTTAACTCGACACTGGAAGGCATCTGAGCATATTTCTAAAAGGGAGAAATGTATGCACTTTCTTTGCAAAATTTATGTACATTTTGCAAAGTAGAAATATGAAGTTGGAATGTATGCATGCAGTATCAGAGTACTGCCCCAAACTCTTGGTCTTAGCCAAGAGAGTACTTTTACCCTAGTAATTATTGCTCTGGAATAAAATTACCATTCTTAAGTTTCCCAAGAAATACATTTTTATTTTTGAATAAACTTAGGGTTTTGATTTCTTTAAGTTGACAATCAATAATTGTAGCAACAATCTGAGTGTTTCAAGAAAAGTTTCTGCACACAAATGTTTCAGTTGTACCTCCTTTGGCCTTGTTTCTTTGTTAATCCTTATCAAAAAGAATAAACTTGCTGCTTGCACTAACAGAGCCATGTCTTCCTTTCTCGCACATATTCTATGGATGATGGAGGCAGACTTTGTGCTCTGATGTTTCGTTTGCTCTATTACTTGTAATGAGGAAGTCCTTTCTAACTCTCAGGTCAAAGGCAGCTATACACAACTAGTCTGCTGTGGTCTACTGCGTTTGATGTCCTTATTTAAGCTGCCACCTCCTTTCAGCTCCATGTTAATACAATTAATTAGTACTATGGACCAAGCTCTGTTCATAGACGTTAAAGAAGCATTAACCATAGCATGTGAGAAATAATTTGGTCCTATAGTACTATAGTGAGTGTAGTACGAATAATAAACACTCAGGGATAGATATTGGGGTTCAGTCTGAAGATCAGAAAAGCAAAGCAGCTAAGCCACTAGAGAGCTCTTGCCTCTATGAAATCTTCAGACTGAAAGAGAGTGAGTTCCTGTTTCATTGCACCTTATACTGGGATTAAAGGTGTGTACCACCACTGCCTGGCCTCTATAGCTAACTAGTGTGACTGCTGGGATTAAAGGTGTGTGCTACCACTGTCTGACCTGTATGGTTGACTAGTGTAACTGTTTAGCGTTCTGATCTTCGGGCAAGCTTTTTATTTAAATTTTATTAAAATAAAAATGAAATATCACTACAATTGTGCCCTCCTGCAATATCTGTTTTCTTGAAAACAAATCTTCACAATCAGGGAAGAGGAATTTAAGCAGATAAGAAATGGCAGTAAAGCAGAATGTGTTGAATAGGAAAAAAAGTCAAATGAAGGAATTGTGTCTCTTTTGATGTGATTTTGCCAAGACTTGAACTTTTCAGAAAGGGAGATTAAGGCAGATAACTCGGGACACACAAGTCCAGGTAAGCACTGGATACTTGAGCAACCATGCGGAAGAAGCTGCCAAGTAAACGGAAATGAGGCTGGCAAAACTGCAGAAGGCAGAGAAAGGTGGCAGTGGAGCAGGCCAGCCCCAGTGCATGTCTGTAAGAACTCCAGACAGCCTTGAAACAGGAAGACCAGTCTCCACAGACAGACAGACAGACAGACAGAGCAGCAATGACTGTGCCTGGCAGTGCAACCCCAGCACACACACACACACTCTCTCTCTCTCTCTCTCTCTCTCTCTCTCTCTCTCTCTCTCTCTCTCTCTCTCTCTCTCTCTCTCCTCTCTTCCCTCCCACCCTCGTACCCACAGATGATAAGAGATGGTTCAAACACACCAGAGTGATAGGATGGAAAACTCCAGTGAGAGATTGAATGCCATTCACTTTCTATTGGAGAGCCTTCCTTTATACTCCACTTAACTAAGGGCTATGGGAATGATTAGGGTTCTAAAATCCATAATACTCCTTTAGCCAAACTGTGCGTGAAAACTATAGCCATGGCCTTTAAGGACAGATGCTGTGGTTCTGTTTCTAACTATAATCTGCTCATTTGAATTAGCAATAACGATAGTTACTATTTGATGCCAATTTAAGGATTCCCCAGATAGCTGGTAAAATATAATTTCTTAGTAGGTCTATGAGAGTCCTTCTGGAAAAGGTTAACCTTGGTATCAACAGAATAAAAGATTGCTCTTCCCCGCATGATGGACATCATCCAATCTTTTCATGGCACAAACAGTAAAACAAAATCAAACTCCATATTCTTGAGCTCTCAGACATCAGCTCTCCTGTGCTTAGCCCCTTGAGCTTGGACTCTAACTATACCCCACTTTGCCCTGCCAGTTCACACATAATAGGATCCCAGCCTCCACTGTCATCCAGTTCCAGTCATTATAAACACACATATGAACACACAGATATATTTATACATTCACACATGCACAAGTGAAGTGATTAAAGGCTACCTATCGATTCAGAGTACATCTGCGCATCTAGAGAACCTGAGTACCTGACTATAAGTATGACAAACGTGGGTGACTATTGACCTGTAATCCTTAATATCTATATAGCTTTAAAAACTAAGGCTTTAAAAAAAAGACAAGTCTTCACATTATAAAAATAAAAATAAATCTTTAAACAAATGAAGACAATGACCTCAAAATGTTAACAATATATATGAGTATCTTGATCAGAGGTAGGAAATGTATAGTGCAATATAGTAAATCTCTTCTAAAATTGCATCAATAGACAATATATCCTAACCAGAGGTAAAAACAAGCATGCATATAGAATGACAAAATAGCTTTGCTTATGTGCACAAATATTATTAACAACTTTGCATATACTTTGTGCACATAACTTTGCATATATCCACATCAGTTTCCATATGTGCATAAATATTGTGATCCTTTCAGTTACAGGATACATCTACTCAAAAGCAGATTTCAAAATGACTTAAAAATTATTTTTATTTCCTGAGTGATTTGTTCTTGCTTGGAAATATCCAATGTGGATCTGAGTTTACTAATCAACTAAATTATTTTGGCTAATTTTCAAGTTCCCCCATATGTGTAATCGCATGTGTATTAGAGGCGTATTTGGTGGTTGGTGCTGCAGCAAGCTTTTCTTCGCACGGTCCCTTCTGGAACGTCATAGGTACTAATATGTGAACTGCTAACCTGTCAGACTATTAGCTTTCTTTTCTTTCCATATTAATTATTTAAAGTTTTATGGTTCAGAAATTGTAGCTGGCAGCTACCCAGTATTCATTTCGTCTGGTGAGTTGTTAAACGGTAGCTATTACTTGTTCTTGCCAGGCAGGAGTGTTCTTAAAATACATCCTAGGGCCAAATTGTTGAAACATTTTGTTCTAAGAGCCACTGTTCAGCAAAACAGGTGGCGTTGCCAAAGAACCATGGAGTTTGGAGGGCCCTGCAGGAGTAAATCCAACTTTCTCCACAAAATGAAAATGATAGAGTCTTACCCCCACAAAAGCTTATTATTCCTAAGCAGACCTTGGACCTTTATAAAGGGGATGGGGAGGGGGTTAGGGGGCTGAGGTGGAGTGAGTGAAAACTCACACGATCTATAACTACAACTTAACTTTTGTGCCTCTTTTCCTCTATTCAGCTAGTTATATTTTAGTGACACATTTTACTTTATTAGCCTTCCTCTGGGCATCTTCAAGAAGCAAGAACTTAAATCTTCATTTCTTCCAAGGAACCAAAAAATGATAGACACCCCAAGCAATGAACAAAGTGTTTGGAAGACTGAGAAGATGGCTCAGCAGGTAAAGGTGATTGCTCCCAAGTCTGCCAAGCTGGAGTTCTAGCCCCAGAACCCTCACTGTGGACGGAGTGTCCCTCTGACGTCCACATGCATACCATGGCCTGTGCTCCCTCATCCTCTGTCTTAGTGTTCTATCGCTGTGAGGAAACATGATGACCCCGGCAACTCTTACAAAAGGAAGAGGTTTAGTCCATTATCAGCATGGTGCTACGAAAGCAGACACGGTGCTGGAGAGGGAGCTGGAAGTTCTTTATTCAGATCCAAAGGCAGCAGGAAGAGAAAGCCATTGGCCTGGCTTGGGCTTTTGAAACTTCAAAGCCCACCCCCAGTGACACTCTTCCTCCAACAGGGCTGCACTTCCTAATCTTTTCAGATAATACCACTCCCTGGTGAGCAAGCATTCAAATTTCTGAGCTGATGGAGGCCGTTCTTATTCAAACTACCACACCCACACAAAAGTCCTATTTAAAGAGTATTTTGCAAAGGCCCAGCTATCACCTCTTTCGATTAATATTACCAATGTTCTCTATATTCCCCCAGATCTACATTCACGTTGATGTCTGATTTGAAAGGCCCTTCTGAAGGGGATTGGAAAGCACTAGATGAGCTTCCTCAGGGCAGGTTCTCCCACGTCATCTACATGCCGCTTTGGAAGTCACTTGGTAAGTATTATGTAACTTGGATTTTTTTTGACGTTACTTAAAGGTTGAGAGTTTGCACTTTTCTTTTGGCATTTATATTCTGTTTTATATTTGGCCCTATTTCTGAAAACTTCTCCTTTCTCCTCATTTTCTAGATATGAGTTACTAAGATGAATGTTAAAGATGGATATCCAGTGAGAATCTCTCTGATCTTAATACAATATAAGTAGGTCTTAATATTATCCAAATATGAGCCCCAAGAGCTAGGAAACTATATGAAAATAACTAGCTTCAACAGATTAAAACAAGTATTCTGGTAAATAACTTCTTGAGAGCAGATCTACATTCTCAAATATGTGTACTCCAGTTAATTGCTCCTCGAAGTGTTCACATGCTTTCTCACAGACAGCTGAATGATGAAGTCAATTTATCGTTTCATAATGAACAGGGTGCCATAAGTATTGAATAAGTTACATGCTTACTCCATTTCACATTTGTAAACTAAATAAGAATGCTTTATACATATAAAAGTATATAGATATATCTGTTTTTATACACTCTAACTGATACCTTTCCAGCGTCAAGATGGTTGCCGACCCTTCATAACAAAGACACTTCCTAACTAATATACCCAACCAGTTATAGAAACTTCCTTTTTAAATGGAAGGCTTAAAAATTTCCTTCCTTCGATTCAGGCACAACTGCAGGGTTCTCTCACCGTTAAGCCAGCTAGGACCTAATGAAAGCAAACGGCTGCCTCTCCAGTCTGAAGAAAGCGGCCTCCTCCTCGGAGGGTCTCCTCTTGACTCCTTTCTTTTCTTAATGACCTCAGAAGAGCCACTCTGATGACTTGGAGAGCCATGGCTGGCATCCCACACCTGTGGCCTAGCCAGAGCATAAGAGTCCAATTTGACTGTGATAATAAATAAAATCTTGTCATACTATTACAGGATGCTTGGCAAGGACAAGAATTAAGGCACCTTTATAACTCCCAGAGGACTCTGGTGATATTTCTCATGCGATCTCGCACATCATTCTGTCCTGCCTGACCTTGCTTGTATCTCCTTCCTGAATTATAGCTTGTGTCGGGTACCCTTTTCTCCTTCTGCAGCCTCTCCCAAGATGAAGTATTGCTGACTTGAAGAAAACAAACCTTCTTTTTATTCTTTGGAAAAATAAAAGTTGGTTA